CCAAAGAAATAATAATAATAATAATGTTGAATGGCTGAACCAGAATCAATGTCCGAATCCCTCTTCTACTGCAGGTATCACATGAGGTCCACCATAGCTGCTCGGGCCTTGCCCTGATGTGCAGAAGACAAACTCAAGCAGCTATAGCTGCTCTAGCTCAGGCCGCCATGCCTGACTCTGCCTCGAAGCTTCTTGGTGTAGCTCTACCCCCTACCCCCGCTGCGGCCTTCTTGCTGCAGCGCCCACTGTTCTCCACGTTTTCTATCTTTATGACTGTTTCCTATTCTACAACTCTGCTGAGAAACTAAACCAACTTTAACTCTCTCTCTCTCTCTCTCTCTCTCTCTCTCTCTCTCTCTCTCTCTCTCTCTCTCTCTCTCTCTCTCTCTCTCTCTCTCTCGTTCATCTGTCTTTTACATGAGGACTTAGCTCGCACAGAGTTGAGTATTGCTCCTTTGAAGCTCCTCCTTTTGCGATCTTATATGTTATCCTACTCTCCTCTCACTCTCATTGTGTTTCAAAGTGTCCCATGGGAAAGACGCTTTCAGCGTTCTTCGGATCAGAAGTGTTTGACTTGTTCGTGATTTCGCCGTCTTGAATGCTGCCACCTGTCTGTCGTTCTGCTCCGCAGCTCCTGTTTGAGAACCCCACGCTGCCTGCCTCCCCTCCTCAAAGGGCCATCCCACTCCCTCCTCTCAGCCCTGGACAAGCTCGTGTCTCTGTTGCTTGAGCTATCCTGTGTAGCTCGACCGCTCCAAGACCCTCCTTCCCCGTGCTGCACTCTCCAGGGCATAGTGGTTAAGCTCCGCGTGGTTGTGCACGAGGCACCGTCGTGCGACTATGGCTAAACCCTAGGACTGTGCCGCTCACGTCATGGGAGCAGAGCGCTACGGTGCCGGCTATCTGCTTGGTCCTCTCTCGCCCCAAATTGAGCTGCTTTAGCCTCAGGGTCACATCAAAATTCCTCACCACGTTTGAAATAAAAAATAAAATTCTAATTTTATTATTATTATTAATTTTTTTTTTGCCCCGCCGGGCAACTTGCCCCGGGCCGCTCTAGCAACCTAGTATATATTATCATAATTAAAAAAAAAAACTTATCTACATTCTTCTCTCAATCTATCTATGTAATATTATACTAATATGTATATTATTCCACATCTATCTCATCTATCTCATCCTCTCGCTACTCTATGTATACTAGTACGGGGGAACTCTCCCCAGCCCACCCGGTATGTATCTTATTGCATTCACAGTATGAGAATGTCAGATTAAATTTACTTCACTTTTTTTAATTCACCGCTTATCGTGTGCTGGACAACAGGTACCCAAGGAAAGGCAACTGGAAAACAGGTTATGGGAGTGCCTCCAGTGCACAGCACTCTACATGCATTTGGACGATTTGTGGACCAGGAGCACTGGGACGACTCCCACATGTTGAATGTATCCGTCCCAGAAACGGCCTAAATGCATGTAGGGTGTTGTGTAGTGGACGAGGAGCACTGAGACTACTACTGCTACTACTACTACTACTAATAATAATAATAATAATAATTAAAAACAAGGGATCCAAGTGAAGTACATGAGTTGATTGTTGCATGTAACATGTTGACTCATCCCTGATCTATTCCATGGCTACGGTCATCATGGGAATAAAACGCCTGGTCATTATGGTTGTCTCAGCTAGACTGAAAGGTGCCACATATACAACTTTAATGACTGGGCATTCCATTCGGGGGAAGGGTGAAGACAGTAAGTCCATATAATTGCACTGGAGCCTATGAAACAACTACGCTCTTCACCCGAAAATAGCACCTGGGCATTGTGTGTATGAATATAACGCCCGCCGGGCGGTATATTCGTTTATAACTCCCGGGCGTTATAATCAGTAAATTTGTGGCAACTTCGGTGAGGCCCCAAAATTCCCAAAAAAAAAAATAAATAAATAAAAAATTATGTAAAGAAATACATGTTGGCCAGGATCGGAATGCGACCAAATTTTGTGTGAGGGTCACTTCAGAATTCCTTATAAACTCGGAAATAAAAAGATAAAAACCAAAACTAAAGCTAAAATATAGCCCTTGGAAGTCAAAACCCCATTCAACCCTCTTCAAAACTCAAGTATACCTATACTCTGCGTAGCACGGCGAAAGTGTTCATGCCCGTTCACGCGAACAACTCGCGAACATAATTTTTTTTCGTAAAACAAATAAAAATAAAACTTTAAAAAAGTTGGTTTTTGATTTTTAACTCATGATTGGCTACGAATTTGAACATGACTCCAAGGCAAAAGTTGCTTGTATTGTTATTTTACATAACATATATATTTGTTTCAGAATTTATTTTTTATTTTTTTTATGTTCAAGTTCGGAGGGTTTTTGGCGCTTGTTCGCGTTTGGGCGAACATGTTCGCGTTCGCCTCCGAATGGGAACACGGTGCTACGTAGCCTATACTACCTCTTCAAGGCACTCTGCCCATGGAACATTCAAATATACCGCCCGGGCGTTCTATTCGAAGACAACGCCCGGGCGTTCTATTCGAAGACAACGCCCGGGCGTTCTATTTGAATATAACTTCCAGGGGGTTTTATTCGAATATAACGCCCCAGCATTCTA